TCCCTTTCTCACAGTACAAGAACTCGTAGATATTCAATGAAATTAATGAGCAGTCGGGTTAGAATGGATAAAAGGAAGTACTTCTTCATCCAAACAGTAATTAACATGTGGAATTCACTACCGTAGGAAGTGGTGGCAGTTACAAGCATAGACAGCTTCAAGAGGGGACAGGATAAACTTACGGAGCAGAGGTCTATGAGTGGCTATTAACCACAAGGTATAGATGGGATACTATGTCTTGAGCAGTGATGCTCTGTATTCTTGGTGCTTAGGGGGCAACTGTGGGAGGGCTTCTGGAGTTTTGGCCCCACTAGTGGACCTCCTGATGGTCCCTGGGTTTTGGCCACTGTGTGACACAGGGTGTTGGACTGGATGGGACATTGGCTTGATCCAACATGGCTTCTCTTATGTATAAATAGGGCAGAGTGTGCGTTTTCTGCCTTCAGCATGTGCAAACGCACCTTCTCTCCTAATGGTTTTTTAAGACTTGCAGTTATGAATCTAAACATACATGTTTCAAGAGATCAGAAAATTTATTTGGCTTGTCCAAAGCCTTCCAATCAGTCAGAAAGCATGGTGTGTAACATCGTGATTAAAGAGTCAAAGATGAGAAAAATCTGGATTCAGATTGTCACTCTTCCTTTGAAACTCATTGGTTGGCCTTCAGCCCTACTTGACAACTCATAGGGTTATTATGAGGATACAATGGAGGAAGGAGAGATCCTGTATGCTGCCTAGGGTTCCCAGCCTCTGCCGAAGAGAAGAAGAGATTGGATTTATACCCCGCCCTTCACTACCCAGAGGAGTCTCAGAGTGGCTTACAAAATCCTTTCCCTTCCCCTCCCCTCAACAGACACCCTGTGAGGTAGGTGGGGCTGAGAGAACTCTGACAGAAACTGCTCTTTTTCAAGAACAGCTCTTATCAGAGCTATGGCTTGCCCAAGGTCATCCAGCCAGGTGCAAGTAGAGGAGTGGGGAATCAAACCCGGTTCTCCCAGATTAGAGTACACGCACTTAACCACTACACCCAACTGGCTCTCTGGTGGGCAACCAGCAGGAGCTGGGGGAGAGAGGACATGGCGGGCACATAGCATCCCAAGTGCCGTGGCATCACTTCTGTGGAAAACCCAGAAGTCATGGCGGGTAACTCTAGGAAACATCGATAACTCTATGGTAAAACCATAGAGTTTCTGGTATGTTCATAGAATTACCTGATGCCACTTCTGGGTTTTCTCCAGAGTGAAAGCACAGTGCATGTGCCACCAACTTTGTAAAAAAAATTCCCCCCCAGCAGGTAATGCACGTTACCAGCAGGAAGCCTCCCACCCCAATGGGGAGCCTGGCAACCCCAATACTACCTCGATGTATAGTCAGCCTTGTGGCTCAGATATAGTCTGAATCCTGGTTAAAATTACCCCCCAAAAAAATTAATTCTCCAGGGCAGGGCTGTACCTAATGGGACTCTAGAAGCCTCCTGGTTTTTCTGCCTTTGTGCAACTCCAAAAACAGGATTGCGGTTGTTGTTTTTAGCACTGGCCTGGTCCGGCAGAGTGTGGCCCGTGGGCTGCGTTCGGCACAGAGAGTCGCCAGTTATGCACGTCAGCCTGTCGAAGTGGGTTTGTCCACCCGATCAAACTGAATGCATTCATTCCTAATTGTGTATGACTGGTGGTGCCGGTCGATCGCAGATGGGACATCCTGGCTCCCCGTGGAAATTCAATTTTCAGTGATTCCTAGTAAGAGAGGCACAGAAGGCAGCTCACGTTCAGATGATAAGACCAATAAGTCATTTGTTGCGTCGAGGTTTCCTTCCTTTTCTAAATTTCCCCATCAATATTAGCCATTCATGTAATGGCTTTTCATCTGCCTAAGTGAACTCGCTGAGCTACAATTGGAGATATTTATGATTGTTTGCCTGGCAATTTTACTGGCTTCCCTTCCCCTTTATTCCCTATTTCCTTTGGCTTTTTAATATCATAAGAAGAAAATAGCACCTGTTATATCACCCAAGAGCTGAATGCTACCATTAAAATTCTTTTTTATCCTCTAATAATGATGTGTCATATTTGTATCCCATGACTCCTCCGGGTAGTTTAGGGTTGCATACAACTCACAACTACCTGTGAGGTATAAATAGACTGAACAGTGACTGCTATGACATGGAAGTAAGCCCCACTAAGTTCAATTAGACTTCCTCCCCAACTATACTTAGGATTGCAACCTAAGAGTTTTGTAGTAAGCTCAGGGGCCATTTCCTGCGGGAGCGCACAGGAGCGGAGCTCTGGCAGGAAGGAGCCCAGGGGCTGGGCACATGCAACAAGCCCCGCCCCCTGCTCCCAGCAGCCTTCAGTTCGGCCACAAGGAGCAAGAAGCAGCCAGGTAAGTTGCAGAGGCCCCCCTGGCCTGCCTTCAGGTACAAGCTCTCCTTCCTCTGTAAGGGTAGATCTGTGCATTCCCCCCCCATAGGTAGCAATCCAAAACACCAGTGGCACCTTTAAGACCAAGTTTTATTCAGGTACAAGCTTTTCCAACCTTGTGAGGACAGATCTGCACGTCGTCCCCCCCCCCAATAGCGAGCAATCCAAAACAGTCCAGTGGAGCCTGAGCGGTGGGTGTTGCCTTCTGACACACTTCCGGTGATGTCAGGGGGTGTGGCATATGCAAAATTATTTTACGGGAAAGACAAAGAGCCCTGAGTATGACCCCTGAGTAAGCTCCATAGTGGAGTTCCACCTCGTTTGAGTTCAAAACTGGAATCGTGACACGACACCGACAGCCTACTAGATCATTGGTCTTCATCTTTTTTCATGACCTGGGGTCAACTGAAATGCAAGCATGTGACTGGAAGTCATGTGAACTCCGACTCATGTCACTGGAAGCTGGGTAGCCAGCAGTATTACATCACCAATGTCAAGTCTAGGAACATGCTTTCAGACCATGAGTAGCAGACCAAAAGATCTGGGGGAACACAGGCCAGATGCCAGGAGTCGTACCATCGTTATGTAGTTATGTGCTGTCAAGTCATGACTTATGGTGACCCCAGCAAGGGGCTTTCAAGGCAAGTGAGAAGTAGTGGTGGTTTGCCATTGCCTTCCTCTGCAGAGCCTTCCTTGGTGGTCTCTGTTAGCCGAATTGCTTTATTTATAGCAATTGGCAATTTATAGATGGGTTCTTGCCAATTTATACCAAGGTCCTGATCCCACCCTGGGTTACCAGTAAAGGATTCCGAGGCTGTTGTAGTTAAAATATATGTCTTTTACTAAAAATATATCTCATACAAACAATACTGATGCACTCACACATTCAATCAAGTTCCTAAGAATTAAAGTAGGAAATAAGCACAGTTGCATTAGCAGGTAGGGGTGATGATGGGCGATACTTATCTGTCTTGGGGCTTGGGGGCAATTTTTCCGGATTCCCTAAAATTAAGCCATGCTGTGGCATGCAGAAGGTCCCAAGACCAATCCTTGGCATCTCCAGTTAAAGGACCAGGCAGTAGATGATGTGATAGACCACTGCCTGAGACCCTGGAGAGCCACTGCCAGTCTCAGTAGACAATACTGATCTTAATGGACCGAGAGTCTGATTAGGTAGAAGGCAGCTTCATATGTATTTCATTTGTTCACTGCCCTAGCTTGCTTTACATAAAGAGTAGACTTCTAAAGGAATGTATGTTACAAGGGTCCATTCCTTTAAGTGGAGGTTATTTTCAAATTTGCTTGCTGTATCGTGCTGTGCAAATCTGAAATCACATGAACAAGTGATGCCGCCTTATACCAAATCAGACCATTTGGTGCCTTCAAGGTCAGTATTGTCTACGCAGACTGGCAGCAGTTCTCCAGCGTCTCAGGCAGAGGAATCAGACCATTTGGTCCCTTCAAAGTCAGTATTGTCTACGCAGACCGGCAGCAGTTTAATGCTGGCTTTTTCATGTTTTATTCTTAGATGAGTCTCTATTTTTTTTTTAGGCTCTTCTTTCAGTCTGAGAAGTATTGGATGGGATAGTGTTGTTTTAGGGGAGTTTTGAAGATTTTAATTGGTTTTATATCATTTAACGCATCAGGTCAAGACTTATGCTTTGCATCAGTTTGGTTTTGAGACTTCTGGTGAGTTCTGCAACCCGAATCCTATTGCATTGTTTACTGAGTGTCCCGTCTTGTTGATTCTGTGGACTTGCTCTGGGTAGTTATCCAATGTGAGAAGAGCAGACGATAAATGATTTACCTTTAAAAAATAAATAAATCAGTATTGTAATTTTCTTCATATGTTGATGTAAGCCGCGCCCAGTATATTTTTAAAGAGAGGGGAGGTGTAAGTAGTTTTGAATAATATTTTGGAATACTTAAATAATATTTGAATATTTCTGAGATTCCCTGCCCCACTATTCAAGAGAATGAGAAATGATCCCTGCCCTAGAGGACTGCAACTCTGAGACCCTCCTCAAAACATCTAAAAATGTCATCATCTTATAGACAATGCCTGTTGTCTTCACCAGAGTTTGTATTAGAGTTCCATTTAGTGTCAGGTGAGATGGAAAGTGCCATTTAGTTTCAAGTGAGCTGCAGAGACTAGAGTAAGGTTGCCAACCTCCAGGTGGGGCCTGGGGAATCTCCCGCTTTTACAACTGATCTCCAGCTGACAGAGATCAGCTCCCCTGGAGAAAATGGCTGCTTTGAAGGGTGGACTCTATGGCATTGTACCATGCTGAGGCCCCTCCCCTCCCCAAACCCCACCCTCTCCCGGACCCACCCCCAAAGTCTCCGGTTATTTTCCAACCCAGACCTGGCAACCCTAGAGACCAGAAGGAGAGTTTTTCCTCTGGCCCACAGGTCCGTTGATCACCCTAAAAGTTGTATCACAAGAAAATCTTCTTGCAACAGCTACCTACATAGATGTTTCTGAAGTAATGTGTTTTGCTATTAAACTCGCGAGCATCCAAGAGAAGGGGGAGAAGACGTACATCATGTATTCTCGTTCTGTCTTTGTTTTTTTGCTTTCAGAAAGTTCAGCAATACACTGTCATCGTTCAGGCCACAGATATGGAAGGAAACCTTAACTATGGTCTCTCAAACACAGCAACGGCGATCATTATGGTGACAGATGTGAATGACAACCCACCCGAATTCACTGCCAGCACCGTAAGTATCAATACATCAGAGCAATGATGTATGGACACGCAGCCGTGTTTGTAATTCATGGACGTTTGATACGGCTGGGTTCCCGTTTTCTAGTTTGGCAGACAGAAAGAACTTGATAGATAACTGTGTAACAAAAAGAGTTTCTGCAAATAAAAATGGAGGGGGCGGGTGAAATGGTTCGTGAAGAAGCGCAGCTATCAGGCGACAAAAATGAAAAGATTGTGACCAACATATATATATATATACACACACACACAGAGAGAGAGAGAGAGAGAGAGAGAGAAACAGTGAGAAAGAGCAGTGCTGCCCTTCCTTTCTCGTAGGATATCCAGGCAGTACTTGGCATTGGGCAGGAATGTTGTGGGTGGGCATATGGCTGCAGTGTCATGTCACTTCTGCTAAAAAAAACAACACCAAAAACCTGGAAGTGACATGGGTAGCTCTAGGAATCACCGGAAACTCTGTGGTTTTAGCATAGAGTTTCCAGCAATTCTTTTTTTTTTGTAATTAACATTTTATTAATAATTAAGAAAGAACAAGTAACAATACTTTTGAAGTATGTTAGAACAGAAGAATACACATACACTTTGTAAAGCAGAATATAATCATAGCACCCTAACATTTCTCTGAGTAGGCGAACAGTAACCATACTATCTGACATAACTGTGCAATCTATATGTAAACCAGAAATATCGTTGTAGTCCAAGATCAACCACTAACTGAGGAATTTCCCCTTGAGACAACAAATATTCATGTATAGGTAACCATAGAGAGGAGAAATAGGACTGTCTAGAGGGCTTAAGCATGTTATCCAGATTATCTGTGGGCTTCGCCATGATGTATAATTTCCATAATTTTTGATGCCACTCTGAAATTGTAGGAGATCGTGATGATTTCCAGGCTAGTGCAATAGTGTTTCTCGCTGCGTACAGTAATAAAGACACCCTTTCTCTAATTGGGTATGAGCATGTCAAAGATTTCCAGTCTTCCAAGAGTAAATGTTCTGGCGTAATTCTTAAAACTACCCTATGTCATACTGGAAGTGATGTGATGCTGCAGCTAGCATTTGGGCAGTGTTCCCTCTAAGCTGTGTGCAGCCACTCATTAACACGGTGCAAGGGGAAGCCCCTCCCAGCAGCAATCTGGAGCCGCACTGGGTCTTGCACCGTGCATTGCCCATTTTAAGATTACAGCAGTTATATTCTGATCAGGATGTGAACTGTTCCGATCGGGGAGGTGGATTGGAGAAGGCATT